TATGACCAAGAAGTTCGTTTCAGATTGCAATCAGCACAAAAGCGCGTTAAAGAATTCTTGGAAAAAGCCAAACAATCGCGTAAGTGTGCGTATGATAAAAGTGCATCATCATCATTTAATTTCGAACCAGGTGATCTCGTTATGATAACGAACGAAGATCTAAGAAATTTGACTCATGGTATGATGGTCCTTTCACAGTTATAGCTGACGACGGTCCAAATTGCACAATATCTAATAATAAAGGCAAAGCCACGATAGTGCACAAAAACCGTATTCAGAAATTCGTTTCATGATATTATATTAAATAATTACGTAGGTACCTATAGGAATTTCACAATTGGCCAATTGATGACTAGAATAATAAAACAATGTATGTATAATTTCAATTTTATAAACACAAGACTATATCATAATATATAAGCTGTTATATTCAATTTGTGTGTATCAGCGATTTCAATATACGTATTTACTTTTGACATAGATTAAAACTTTTGTGTAGGCAAATATCTAGGTTAATGGAATGATAACATTATATACAACAAATTAGGGAAATTTAGTATTGTAATGTGATATTAACGTATTAGGGAATGTTTTATGTACTTGAGCCCCCGAATTTTTATCAGAATGCTCTTCATTTATGCGCAGAATGAAGATCATTCTCTAAGAAAGGGAGGTGTAGTGCAATCAGGTCAATAATAAATATTGTTTAATAACATATTCAACCAACTCAGCATATTCATTACTGAACAGGTATAGAAGGTGATTATGTAGGACAGATTGCATATAGCTACTGTGGTGTATGGCTCACTAACTAAATGCTATTATATTGGGTGTAGAAAATGTGACGAGTTTTACTAATCTACCCTTATCCCGATTGCTACTTTACAACTTACCGCGTTCGGCATTATGATAGCAGGCACTTCAGTCTGCTGTAGCCTCATAATCATTCTGATGCTCACAGGGAACTTCTTCTAATAGTTCCGGAAGTCTAGTTAGAAGAAATCTTAGATCTGCATTCATAGTGCCTTCGTAAAAGTGATACCCAATCAGAAATACGTTCATCATGGCGCACCAAAATTTGAAGCTACATTTTCGCTGACTTCTTTTTCTAATCCAACTCATGGTTTCCATATAGGATCTGCATCATGGTGATGAAATGGTGATTGAAGAATGTCAAACACCACTCTGCCAAAACTTGTTCGTCTTCAAAACGGCAAAGCTCTGGAAATCTTTGCCAATTCAAAAACTCATAACCACCAGAAGTTCAAAGAAAACCAACACCTACCTCGTCTTCCTATCCTATATAGGTAAGCGCGATTGTCCACGAACATTATAGGAATTTTATTTTGTGCGCTCCAAGAGATGCATAATGATGTATGAGGATGTAACATATACGAGGTGTTTCAAAAATGAGTACATATATTCAGAACATCGATATGAGACAATCTTAAACCATATTATTCCATGATATTTGTTTTTTTGGCTCAAGTTTCGTTTAGCTGAAATCAGTTATGAAAAAACTGTTGCTATGGCAACGATCGTCATAGTAACGAGTAAACAAAAACCCGATTCCCGTGGTGAGGAAATGCGTGGTTGCCAAGTTGTATATCGGGTTTAGTATAGCTGAAATCAGTTGTGGAAAAACTGTTGCCATGGGAACGATCGTCATGATAACGAGTAAACAAAAACCCGATGCCCATGGTGAGGAAATGCGTGGTTGTCAAATTGTATCGGGTTTAGTATAGCTGAAATCAGTTATGGAAAAACTGTTGCCATGGCAACGATCGTCATGGTAAGGAGTTAACAAAAACCTGATTCCCGTGGTGAGGGAATGCGTGGTTGCCAAGTTGTATAGGGTTTAGTTTGGCTGAAATCAGTTCTGAAAAAACTATTGCCATGATGGCAACGATAGTCCTGGTAACGAGTGAACAAAAATCCGATTTCCGTGGTGAGGAAATGCGTGGTTGCCAAGTTGTATCGGAGAATTATTGCTTCATTCATCAATTTCAAAAACACTCTTCAATGTAATTATCCTTCGCGTTCCGAGCTTTTCGACAAAATCAAAAAGAAACAGAGCCTTTTTGGAATATTCATTACGAGGTATCGCGCAGGATATAGGAAGAGAGACTACAGGTACTGATTGTCAAATACAGATGGAAACATCTCGTTAGACCCACCCACATTTCCATTTGCCTTCATTTCGATTCACCTATACCTTTCTTCACGCGCACATTTTGATTCAGCAACAGTCTTCGAACATACACGAACGATGCCTTGCTACCAATCTGAACGATGTTGGTAAATATATGTTTTTCAAGAAGAAGGTAGATTCAAGTCGAGTTAGGTTAGATTGTTTGGAAAAAGTAGTGTCCTTTTCTATGCAGTCTTCAAACACACACGAACGATGCCTTGCTCCCAAATCTGATCGATGATGAAAAATATATTTTTTCTAAGAAGGTTCATTTAAGCCGAGTTAGGTTAGATTGTTTAGAAAAAGTAGTATCCTTCCTTATGCGCTATTTATTGTTCCGCACTATTTTGTCGCTATTTTGTCTAGCTCTGTTCAATAACAATGCCTATTTTTCCTGACGTTATTTCCATATATGATCGTCAGAGAAGTAGTGATTTTGGGAATTTATCAACGACGAACAGTCTTCAAGAAATTGATGAGAAGGGTATTCATTCGAATCAAGTTATTGTTTGAATACTAGCAAGAACTTTTGTGGAACAAAATTTGATGCTGATTTCAGTTATACTAAACCCGATACAACTTGGCAACCACGCATTTCCTCACCACTGGAATCGGATTTTTGTTTACTCGTTACCATGACGATCGTTGCCATAGCAACAGTTTTTTCATAACTGATTTCAGCCAAACTGAACTCGATACAACTTGGCAACCACGCATTTCCTCACCAAGGGAATCTGGTTCTTGTTTACTCCTTACCATGACGATCGTTGCCATGGCAACAGTTTTTCCATAACTGATTTCAGCTATACTAAACCCGATACAACTTGGCAACCATGCATTTCCTCACCACGGGATTTTGTTTTCTGTTTACCTGTAACCATGACAACGGTTGCCAAAGCAACAAATTTTCCATAACTGATTTCAGCTGAACGAAACTTGAACCGTTTTTTTTTGTAATTCTTCTAACTAACGAGAATTTTCATTTGAGAAATCAACAAAAAACGAGTAAGAAATCAAGAACACCACCCCAGAACAATTCGAATCATTGAACTTTACGTGATTGTGCTTTCTGCATGGAAGAATTGCTACAGTGTAGAACTCTAGGTGGAAAAAGGGATCTAACACCAAATTTCATTCGGATCCCCACACTCATTGAATTCAGTTGTTATATCTCGAAGTGTTGGAGTCCTTGCATTTTGCGTGTCCAGTACAGGAGGGCAGTCTCTGAAAATGTCTTGAAAATTGGTTTGACCAATTACGCTATGAGCGGCACCCGAATCCACTTCCATTTCCATCAACTTTCCATTTACTTGGATGTTAACATTGAATTTCCCGCACCCAGAGTCAATTTGTAAACTGTGTAATGGCACACTGTAGATATTGTCCGTATCTTCAGGGATACTGAAATTTTGCTCCTCGATTTCGTCGGTACTTTGAATATGCACCCTGTGTTTAGATTTGTAGTTTCCAACTTTATTTTTCTTTGCATAACATGCTTTTTCTATATGACCTAGTTTGTCACAGTAACGACACTTCGTGTTTTTGAAAGCACATGTGTCAGGCGAATGCTCACTGTCACATCGAAAACATCTCTTCTTCCGATCAAACCATTTCTTGTTATCTTCCATCTTATTCACTGAATGTACTACTGACGAGCTTGATGCTGTCAGAGTCGAAGATTCTTTGAGCACAGTGAGATTATAAGATGCAGTCTCATGTGCCAGGCAGAGAGCCTGAGACTTAGCAAATGTGAGATCCTGTTCTGCTAACAAGCGCCGCTGAAGGGATTCATCTAGGATTCCACAAACTAATCGATCACGCAGCATGGTCTCCAAAGTATCGGCGAAACCACAATTTTCTGCAAGATGACGTAGTTCTTTGATGAATACCGCAATGCTTTCACCAGCTTGTTGATTGCGTCTGTGAAACTTGAAACGACAAACCATTTCTGAGGTCTTCGGCGTGAAATGTTGGTTAAGTACTCGAATCAACTCGTTGAACGGTTTCGCATTCACCTTTTCGGGAGCTATCAGCGAACGTAAGATAGAATATGTGGCCGGGCCACAAATACTCAGGAAAACGGATTTCTTTCTTTCATCTTCTTGAATGTTATTCGCCAAGAAAAAGAACTCGATTCTTTCTTGGTAACTTTCCCAACTGGCGGGATCACAGGGATCGAAGTGTTCAATGTTTCCATAGGTAGCCATATTGCGAGCTCGACTAGCAATACTTTGGCAAACTTACTGAGCATGTAATTTTGGGTTACTCATGGGATGATCCCATCCTCGTCGCCAAAATGTTATATATGAAGTCAATAATCGAATTCAGATAACATGCATTTAATGTGGCTCACAAAAACCAATATTATTAACAACTGAACTTTTATATCAATACATAGCAACCTGAAACCAACGTAGAACATTATACTGGAGGTTTAACCATACTCAGTACACAACAATTGGATATGGAATTTCAATACCAGAGTTGTAGTGGAGTTCTTGGAGGTCGAATATCAGAGAGCGAAGTATAGATACTGAAAATACCACACTGTTCTTCAGACATGCTTAGATATGTATTTCGACCATTGAGTTGCCATCCCCAGAAGTCAATAGAGAATTGAGATAATTCATAGAGTCGCCTTATCTTTATATTAAGCCTGGTTTGAATGCCAATAATATGGAATTTTGGCTATTGTTTGAATTCAATGAAGTGGAACAATCATCAATAATCATAATTGAAACTTTCGTGATCGTTGATATAATTAGAATCATCATTACTAATGTAATATCCCGAATCCTCTTATTTTCAGACTATGCTATACGGATTGGATCACAGTCACAAAGATATCCATGTGCATTCAACTTTTACAGCAACGAAACAAAATACGGATATTTCCACAGTCCTAACTTTCCAGGACTATACCCAAGGAACACAGAGTGCCATTATTTTTTCTATGGGATTTTGTCAGAAAAAGTTGCACTACACTTCAGTTCTTTCGACATAGAGGGAGTTTCTTCGTAAGTTCACTAATATTAGGATTATTTTCAATTAAACTTTTACACTCTGGATTACGAATATTAGGATTATTTTCAATTAGACTTTCACACTCACACTCTGGATTTGTTCGAGAAAGATAGGAAATAGATGATTCCTATGCACTTATCAAGAAATGAATTCAAGGAAAGAACATCATTAACCATTTCCAGATATATTTTCTGATATTATAGTGTATCAAATTGAATTGGACACCTTTTTCGAACGATAGTAATCAGAAGGAGTCGTATTATTTCAAAATTCAAACATCGCGTTCATGAAATTAGTCATAATAAAGTTCAGTTTCTATAATTTGCCCAGTATACTCTATTCTTGAATCGATAGGGAATTCTCACATCTCGAACTTTCTTACTGAATTGAGAAATAACTGTGGTATAGACGATTTCTCTTTACTTATGGATGAGACGAAGAACGTACGACAGTAATACCTCGAAAAACACAAAACTTTCGATATATTTGGCAAATTATTGATATCTAGCTTAGTGATTTTTGAATTCAAGATTAAAATGGTTTCCAATTGATGAAAATATATCCTTACGACATCACTTGTGAAGAAGTTCGATTTTCTGTTTTCGATTTTTGTTTCCATTTCATAATCATTAACTGCGGTACAAATACTACTACACCTTCTCTCATTGTAATGCAGAAAGAACAAACGGTAATTCAGATTGGTAGAAGGTAATGCGGAAAATATGATTCGATTGTAATTCAGAAAGAGTCGAATGTAATTCGGATTATTTGATTGAAATTCAGAAAGCGTACCATGTAATGGGCTTATATCACAAAAAAAATTTATTTTATAATTCGATAGAACTCACCCAAACTCTTGCTGTGAGCTCCCTACGTTTTATAAAAAATTATTGAAATCTCCGATTTTTCGGACCTCTGGAAACGAGGCGATGATGTGACGTCGAAACCCTAATGCTGAAACAAGACTATTCCAGACAGAGATGAATGATACATGATTTTTAACAGAGTGAATTAGCGCGAGATCACAGTTGAGAGAATTAATATATCAGTTGCCTCAGTCTCCCTCGGACATTTTTGTATTTTCTTTCAACTATGGCGAGATGAGGTTTCTACGTCATAAGAGGGTCCGTTGTCAGAAGGTACTATTATTTATGTCCAAAAATAAAACATTCCAGTTAAATTTGTAACGTTCATTTTTAGCTATCGTACCTTATTGATGAATTAATTCACTGATTCTGCGAAGATTCAAAACTTCAACGTTTATTGCCTATTACTTGGTAAAATTCTAACATTGGGTCTCTCGATATACCAAGTCAACTTCTGCACAGCTGTATCATATCATCCTCTTGTTGTACATAAATTACATAGATACCTGCCTAGAACTCGGTACCATAATTTGATTCCTAGTACTCGAGTCTGTTTATTTCCATATCTGCTGCTATCTCTAATCGTAAATTAGCAGTCACCACCATCTGTATTCAGTCTCCTAAAAGAAGAGAACTCAACCATAAGGTATGCCTATGGTATAATTAATTAACACTCTGTACTTACTGTTATTTCAAACAGATTCATTTTAGGGAATCATATTTTGGATTTAAGATTTATTTTTGTTTAGGCTGTCATCAGGTATGGTGTTTACATTTCGCTGTCATTATTTAGTAGTAGTATGATCAGCTGTTCGATCGTTGAAATGCTGTGTTCGGAATATCAGACACTACCCTCGACAGAACAGGACCGTTCCGTTGTAAGCGCGCTGGACCAAACTCAGGGTGATTTGAATAACCGAATGAACGGGTTTCTACTGGTGATAGTGGTGGAACTTGGTACCTAGATAGTGCACGTTTGGTGCAATTGAGTGGTGTACCTGGTAGTAGAGCTAAGAGAAATTTATCAACTTGATTACACTGGATGTCAGGTTTCTTTTGTACAATGAGTAAAGTTATAATAAAACTGGGGGATAGATTCCATGTTCTGGTACCCGTTGCGCTGCATTCGAGTTCCGACTGTTCAGTACCCTGTTCTATGACGTCATCATGGGTATAGTACCTTCTGGATTATTCAGAGTTGGTAAATATCCTTTCACTACTCTTCTACATCTAAATATCATTCAAACTAAGAATGGATATATAACCCAGGTATTGGTTAGGCAGTACGGTTCCTGTCATGTTCTGTGTGCTCTGAGATTTCTGTCCTTGTTCGGGTATGTCATGTACTTCCATGGTTTTGTGGATCCGAGATGATCAATGAAAGCTGTCACTTTTATGTCCTGGGCAATGAGCAAGTGAAATGGCTGTAAGCCAATAATATTGAATTTTTCATTCATCCTCGAAATGAGGGATTAGATTTCACTCTCAATTTCCAGTTTCCATGTAGGGAATTTTGAGGTATCGTTGTGGTATATATTTTCGGAAACTGTCCATTATTATGGGATTTTGAAGCCTTGGCGAAAAAGTGAGGTTGGAAGCACATGAACCGAAAACCCTTTTCTAAAGGAATAAGGTAAATCGAGCTGATAATTCGATCAATTGACCAGTATTTTGATGATTGAAACACTTTCCAGAGCGGTACATAGTTGAATCGTGGAGCGAATCGATAGATTTGGAGATTGATGCCTGATGGGCCCTCTCAGGTGGAATGACATTGTAGACATATATTGTTGAGTCTTGGGTGATAGTGTGTCCTTAGAAAAGGTATGAACCTCCAGAACTTTGGAGTCAGTGAGTAAGAATTTCTCTCATGTTTCAGGGTTATTTTTATGTGCTGCAATTTGTCTTCTGACATTTTTTTGTGGTGACCTGTCTTTAGGTCTGCAAATTTGAAGTATAGCAGCTTGTGCATTTCCTGCTTCTGCTATAGTGGCTGGTATCTGGAGCTGGATCTGATAATCTGTATCTGGAGCTGTATCTGGAGCTGTATCTGATAATCTGTATCTGGAGCTGTTTATGGAGTTGCCTTTGAAGCTGTAGCTGAACCTGAAGCAATAGCTGTGCTAAAATCAAGCCTGTGATTGGGCCATGGCTGTCACGCAAGTTTTTCATAGCATTATGATTACTGTTCATAGTATTTTTTTTTGTCTACTACCATGATATTATTATGATGAGTTATATGATGATTTTTATGATATACCCCTGTTAACGTAACAGGCACGGTTGCAACCTTGCGGTTTACGGATTTAGGTATATGAACTGGGTAGGTCATATGATTTTGCATTACTTATATAGCATAGGTATTGCCATGAATTTATGAACATTTAGTTTCTGGGTGGGTTTTTATGTGGATTTTAAGGGTATGGGATAAAACTGGGATTTAAATATTATGTAACACTTGGGTGATATACAGTCAGGTTTTGATTTGAACATTTAAAGTATTCAGTATTGAGGAACATAGTTGCTAGTAATATTCAGATAGATAGCACTTCAATCTTGAATCAGTATTATTGTGTCAGGTGATTCAAGAAGAGAATTATTAAATGGTATAGAGTATTGGGAAAATGTTTGTCTTTTAATTTGATAACGATAGCTGTTGGAATAAGATATTAACCATGGTAAGTGGGGTTAATATTGAATCATGGTGAGGGTATGCAGTCCACATTTACCTGGCGCCCTTTTCAACATCTATTATTTTGAGTAGATCTGAACCCACTCCGTCTCCACTGAAGTTCAGTCGCGAGCCCATATCCTCTGTCAGCAAAGGACAGATATATATTTGTCAATCTCGAAATAAGATTGTTTCAAATTTTGGCGCCCAACGTGGGGCCTTAAATAAAAAAGGAATTTTTGATTTTCAAAAAAAAAAAAAAAAATTTGAAAAAAAAAAAAAATTCAAAAAATTTTTATTTTTTATTTTTTTTGTAGTCTAGTATCTCTGACTTCCTTTTTAGTAAGTTCAGTTTTTTTGAAGTGCTATTTTCCTTAGTGGTGATCTGGTGATACTTTGAATGTTCAAATATTATTTCATTTACAGGTACAGATTATCGGATCTATGATTGTAGTATATGTTTAGTAGATTTTTCGCAGCAATTCAAGAGAAATATTTATGGTCACTGTCCTGGCTATACAGGGTAGATTTTTTTTTGGTATAAATTGTTGCTGAAGTTTGAGAAAATGGAGGGTAAAATGGAGATAAATAGACTCGACAAAGAGGAGTTGACTTATGAGTTGGCAATTAGGGGTGTAACTGATAAAACCACTGTTGAGGAAATGAGGAAGTGCCTACGAGGCTATATAAGATTGGAAAATTCATCAACTCCCCCTGTTTATCCCACAAATGTTTTCACTTTTGATGCTGATATTTTGTATTTAACTGACAAGCTTGCAGAATTACAGGGATTAGTTTCTGACTTTGCGGATTTTGAATCAAGTCCAAATTTTTTGAAAGTCAATTCTAAGATTATTCATGCTTTTAGACGAGCTGAGAGAGCTGTTGTTGCTAAGGATGAGGATCATGGAGTGAAATCTAAATTTCTAGTAGAATTCTTGAATTTGCGGTCTGAACTTAAATCACGTGCTAGAAAATTCAAAAGATCATCTCAGCAAATTTCAACTCCTTTAGAACTTAGTGTTCTCATGTCATCGACAGGGATTAGCAGCTCATCAGAGAGTGAAGAATCTGATGATGACGTAGTAGGAAATGTACCGTCAGTACCAGTGTCTGTTCCCCATACACAGGGTGTCCCAGTATCAAAGTGGAACATTACTAAATTTGATGGAGATAATAGTAAAATTTCGTTAAGTGCTTTTCTGGAGAATGTTGAGGAATTATGTTTGTCCCGTAATGTAAGTAAAGACCAATTGTATAGATCTGCAAGTGATCTATTTTCAGGAAAAGCGTTGTTGTGGTTTAGGTCCATCAGAAATCAGGTTCATTCTTGGCCACAGTTAGTTGTCGAACTTAGAGCAGAATTTCAGCCGCCTAATTTCAATGATAAATTGTTCAATGAAATCAAGCATAGAACACAAGGTCCTCAAGAGACTATGGGCATGTACATAGCCCT